CCCCAAAACCCCAAAACCCCAAAACCCCAAAACCCCAAAACCCCAAAACCCCTTTTTATATAATAAAGAGTGAATCATGGATTAATAATTATTAACAAAAGATTAAATAGTTTTATAACTAAAAGGAATCACTCCCCTGGAATAGGAAAAACTCTTCCTTGAGCACAAATGAATTGTTACGGCAGATGCGCTCTATTTGATTGCCATCAAAACCTTCTACATTGTCCTTTGCTTTGCATAAGATCTTTGAGCAGTTCTGGAAGGGTTTAGGGTAAGAAGAAAGATCATCCACATTCGATAAGTAGTAATAGATGAGGAAGGAAAACTGTGGAATCGAGAGCATATCATTCAGAACCTTCTTAGAGTAACGATTGAAGCAGTTATCTACCAACTGAACAATATATAAGGCTTGGGAGAGAACTTCATTTTGTGTACGATATTGTTGTTTGGATTCTTCCAAGATTTTCCTCATATCACTTGGATATGCAAAAGCTCCGAAGTAGAAGGCCATGTTGCTTGAGAAGTTGTTAAAGTTGAGTTTATTGATTCCCTCAACTATGCTTTTTAGAAGCTCTTTGTGCTTGATGTGGAGGCATTTTTCCTTACGGTTATAGCCAGTCACATCTTCTAATAATTTACAATAGTGTCGCCTCATCATTCTGAAGATGCTCTTCATAACTACGTCTTTCCTCTTCAAGGAGAGAAACTCAGATGGTATTATGGACCTATTGCATTTATTTTTATTTTTGGGAGATTCATGGATTTTCTCATTTAATGAATCTCATGGAGGTTTATCAACCTCATTGTCTTTTACAAATCCCATTTGAACAGGTGCAAAATCAGGTTTATTTTCAAGTTTGGATTGAGGTGGGAGTTCTTCTGTTAGATCCTTATTTTCAAATGAGATAATTGGATCATTCTGGAGTTTCTCTAATGGAACTTGATCCTCCTCCTGAATCTCATTTTCAAAGAATTGATCTAGGCTATGTCCTTCGTCGTAAATACAAAATGGATCTTGGTCAAAGTTTGAGATATGTTCTGATATCTTACTGAATATATCTTGAGACATTGGAGGAAAGTTATCCTCTTGAATGACTCTATCCATTTCGTTTGCTACAAAATAACTCAATTCACTAGACATTGTTCTGACTAATTAGTTTAGAAAGATAAATTTATTGTTATAAGTCTATAATTTCAAGTTTTTATAGTAGATAGGGGTTTTGGGGTTTTGGGGTTTTGGGGTTTTGGGGTTTTGGGGTTTTGGGG